CCCTATATTAAAACTTTTTTTCTCGACAAGCTGTGTCAGTCTTATATGTCTGACGCATCCAAACAAGATACAACAAGTATTAACCTGTTGTTTTGAACACAGCGTTGAACGCATTGTGTAGGAATCAGTGGTACGTGTAGCATTTACCGAATAACACCTTGTTACTGTGACTATTTCTTTATAAAGAACATAAAATAAATTAATATAAATATAAATAATATTTACAATAATTTGTAAATATCTACAAATAATGGCAAAACGAAAGATTCTAAGTGAAAGTGAATTGAAAGAGATTGCTGATAATAAATGAATGTAATTAATTATATCAAAATAAAAATTATTAAAATGTATTTTTTCAACTGAAACAATATACCATTATATAACTATGTTTATTTTATTTTATTGTTTGTAGTAAGCCAAGAAATTTTCAAGTTTTGTTCCTGATAGGCCAAGCTTTCGAAACAATGCAAATGTATCGTTTGCGTCGGACATCTGTGATTGACGTGGCCTTCTACCAAATCACGTACGTCAGACATATATGTCTGTCATGGCTCATGTAGAACTTCTTAGCGTCAGACACATATGACTGACATGGCGATTAACGTGTTAAAATATTTTGGAATGCCAATTTAATACAACTGATCTTAAAAACAGAAATTTATATTGATCTAACAAGTAAGATTGGATCAGAACAGGTGTTTGGTGGCAAAAAGTACACTTTTTACCTTTGAATACTCTACATTTTGTGCATTGTTTAATAACAAAACTATTTTAAAAGTATTTTTCTCTTCATATAATTTAAAGTTACTCTTCTTGATAACTTTAAATAAATTTTGTTCTTGTAATTCTATGCTTTTATGATGAGCATTGTGAAAGAATGCAAGAAGTAAATACCTAAAGCCATTAAGAAGGGAAACTTTACTTTGTTAAAGCAAGATTTTTCTAATGTTTTTAAATTTATGGAGTATCTTACGTACTTTTGCATTTGATGATGATTTTCAGAATAGTTAAAATTCCATTAATTACTGTATTAAATTTTTCTAATTTCTGTATTTACACTGAAAGATAGTGATTATATATTTTCATAATTATGCAAACTAATAGTCTAATTTTCATTTAAAGTATTTTAAATTGCAGGCATGGAGTAAAGTAAATAATTTGTTTGATGAAAACGACCTTGAATGTTATACAAAAGCCAAAGGTCGCTTCAGATCTTCATTATACAAATCAAAAGAGAAAATTTTGCCTATGAAAACATCGAAGAAATCCAAATACAAACTTTATCAATTGCAAAAGTTAAATAGTAAGTACTGTGTTTAGTTTTATTTCATTGTTAATTAGACTAAATTATAATAAACTATTATCATGTTTATTTGAATAATTTGTGCATTTTTTTTCTCAAAAAATCAGTGTGTGCAATTTATTCAAAATAAATTCGGTGACACAATATGCAAAGCAGTATTGTGGAGTCAGACTCAGACATTTTAGAGCAAAGTCAAAGTCAGTAAAATTCTTTTGACTTCAGCAACTCTGATCCTAAATTTTACTGACGGAAAAATTTAAAGTATGAAAAATACTTTTTAATTAGTATCTAAAGAAATTTCTCAGAAAATGGACACTTCAATAAATTTAGATATCAAAATATATTTACCTATAAAGGCCATTTTGTACCAAAATTTTTGTGTGTATTGTATGCGACATGCTCTATGCGTTCATAAAATAGCTTTTACAATTTAAATGAATATTTTCGCATTGCCTAGAAAGCTGTATTCTCTATATAATGCACACAAGGCTAGGCATGTTTTTGCTATTACCCAACAAAAATTACGAAACATGGTGCAATACTCAACTGACTTTGCATTTGTAAAAAGATAATATTATATAAAATATATTAATAAGTTTAAGATATTTGTTTTGAGTAGCTTGTATGGTATGCGAATCAAAATTATGTGAAAAAAATTGAAACTGAGTAGCTTATGAACCACTTGAAAAGTAAATAACTTTTTCAATGTTCTAGTGTATTAATGCATTGGTTTTAGATACTGGTGTGCAACATAATCTGCAGTTGAGGAAATGTGCCTTCTGGCTGGTGTTTTAAAGGAAAGTGGCACCTATTTGAGTGTTATTGATATGAGGAAAACCCGAAAAATGCATCAGCCAGCCCGTCAGCCCAAGTGCGAACCCAAGCCTACTAGCACTGTTTGGGATTGAATCCACTTAGCCACTAGTGCAGTATGGGTGTTGGATGGAGACAACACATGGGTGGCGGTTCTACATGGAAAATATTTTGCAGCAATCTCAACCCCGAATTTGATCCTGGATTCTTTGCAGCAACAGTCTGTATTGCTCAGTTGTCTGGTTTGCTTTCAATATATGAGAAAAACAATGATTGTATATAATAGCTCGTATAAACATTGTAGTAGATCAGAATATATATGTAAAGATGGAACTTTTACTTTACTAATAAAAGATAATAGGATCTCTAGATCATTTTAAGAGGAAATGAGAAATTCTAGTTTTGAATAAAATAAAATTAAAAATATTGTAAAAGGGGAAAAAATGAGTTTCTAAAATTAAAAGTTTCCTTTTAGAAAATTCATTTTAGAACAGCCAAAGATCTAATATATTTTTGAAATTGTNTTCTTTGCAGCAACAGTCTACATCCCTATATACAAGATGCCTTCTTCCTGTTGCTTTCTGTCCCTTCATCTTGAGTAAGTGAATAGCTGGGTATTTCTCCTTTCTGGATGGGCATTAGGTATGGAGGTTCATGCACTGGACTTGCTTGTCCTGTATCTCTTTGGGGCTGTCACTTTGGTCGAATGGACCTCCTCAGCCACTGTGCATGGCCTTTTCATTCTTCAGATAGTGGCTTTGACCCTGGTATGGGTATATCTCGGTTGATCAGTAGCGGCGGTTCTGCTCCAGGATTGCTGTCAGCAGTCGGCAACAGGCTCTTCCATCTCACCTCCCGTGGCCTTTATCCACCCGTGGGTGCTTCATTTGGTGTGGCATTAGCGAGCCGCTGCACCTATCCACTGCTGCTATTGTTGTCGTTTTATGTTTGTTTCTCTTCCTCTCTACCTGGCCCTGTAGGGCTCCTTCCAATGGCCCTCTGCTAGGTATTAACTATAAGTTATTACAATTCCAGGTTTTATTCCAACACACACCAGACAGAACTACAAATTTACTGGAGACTGTGTGGTGAAGTCACTTGTCTTCTAGGATCTGTTCTTTTCATTATACCTACTTTTTCACCTGGTAATACTTTCCAGCATCCCCTTTGTTTTTGTTGCCCTATGTCATTACTTAGTACTTTGTAATCAGTTGGGTTTCTCAACTGGATTTTGGTTCTTCCCTAGCTGCTCGGGTGGAGTTTTCTGGGTTTCCTCCACCTCTTCTCCCAAATAAGATCCAGCATCCCCTCAAGTCCTCCCGGAAGGCATACCATTCTACCCCTGTGGGGTGTTGTATTATTCCCTTCAAAATTCTTATTGAAAATTTGCCGGACATTATTATCAATGGATTGCTCACTGCTGCTTTCTTTTCTTCAGTAGCTTTGAGTTACCCAGAAACGTTAGTTAGGTCTGGTTGGTTTGGTTAAACAATCAAACTGCAAACTTGACTTTCCATCTATTTTTCCTCTTATTTAAAAACTGACAATGGTAAGTTATAATAGCACAAACATAAAATATACCATGCAGAATAAAATTTTAAACACAACATGTACACATAATGCTATGAGCCCTCACAAGGGACTAGTTATTTCGTATGAGCACTATATGGGACAATTATGAGCCCATCATCCACTAACCAACACAGACATCCTTGTTATACGACATTCTCTGGCCTTTTTGTGCTCTCTGAGCGTTAAAGGGCCTAAAACCACAAATAAAACGTGAAGCGCAGACATCGATCTTTAAGAGAAATATTTTTGTACTAGCAGTTGACCCCAACGTATTTTTAATTTATACTACCATACTACAAAATTTAAACGTAAAAAACGAATACGGTGCACAACAATTACAATTCATTTTACATATCCACCGAAAACTCAACAATGGGGAATTGTTGACCCATTCACTCCATCTGTATAAATATTGGAGTTTATTTTTAGCACAAGCAAAAACCTTAATATTCAGGGTAGGGATGTTTTATAAAAATAATTGTTAATGCTAATAACGAGTAAAATCGTCATTAAAACGGTTAAATATTTCATTGTAACAAGTTTGACTTCATTCACTGCTTCTCGCTATTCTCGTCGCTTTGCGACAAAATATCGAAGGAAGCGACAAAAGATGCGATTATCGCATCTTTTGTTGCTTCCTTCGATCGCTAGCGATGAAATAGAAATCTCCCCGCTTCCTGTCGCAATCGTAGATGATTGGACGGCACACGATATTACATCATATTACAACGATTGCGCAGGCGTCACGGGGAGTACCCCGTGTTATTGAGTATATAAATAATGCGGCGTGGTTTGTGGCGTGTCCATTACAAACGGTTTACGTCGATCGAAAGAGTGTTAATTATTTTTATTTATTTTTTAATCATTTATACTTGATAGAAACGACTGGAAACGTATATTTTGGTTATTTTAAAGCGAAATCTATCGGTCGTAAGCGATGCCAAGACGAATACGTTTCGTTGATGATTTTATAATACCTCATTTGAAGGGTAAAACTTTTGGAAAATTATTAGAATGGCACGACGAAGAAGAGGGAATTTTTAAAGTTTTGTGGACTCATAAAAGTCGTGCAGATTGGAAGAAAGAATATTTTAAAGTATTTGTTGTAAGTCTTTCTTTCGTAACTACAAATCCGCGACGATAATCGTGATAAATCGCGCCGATTTTAACGTTAAATTTAATTCCTTTAACTTTAATAATATTAAAGGTTAAACGAGTGAAATGGGAGTAATGTCGTCGGTGTCTGTCGCCACGTTGACGTCGGAAGCGATCCTGCGACTCCTTTTGACAGTTTTCGCAACATAAAGGGGCTTTAATACAGTAATTCCCAAACCTTTTTCACCCACTGCTGCTTTGGTTTCATAAACTTATACCGATGCTCCCCAATTGTATCCTAATGTCCCAACCCATTTTCCCTTATATGGAAAAGGCTTGGAAATATTCTTTGAGAAGCTCTTCTGCCGACCTCGCACTTTCTGTTCTTCCCGTAGTAAGTTGTTGTCGACATCCGAAAACTATTAAATGCTAAGTTTCTTCTTACCCATTTTAAAGGAGGAAAGTGAAATGTTGTCGGCGATTTGAACCTTCGTCTACGGTCGCCGTTTGGTCCCACCTCCGGTGACCTCTTCCGTCTTCGTAGATTTACTTGTCGCTCCCCGGTGTCGGTAGTGACCGCTTTGGAAATTGCTACTTTAATATGTCTGGATAATCTAACCGGTGGCATATTTGTTTTAAAAGAAATGAGTTATGTCGTCGACTTGCTTATTTGTGCGCGTTAAAGCTGCTTGACCGGGCCACGCGTGAAATGATTTGTGCGCGTATACGGAGTGTCTCGAATATATTCTGCGTAACCTCGGGTATGAGTTCGTTGTGTGTTGTTGCAAACGAAATAGCTGATTTTTTACTTCTGACTTTGAATGTTTATTAATTTAATTTGAAACTTACACATTTAATTAAAATTGTCTCCACCAACATTAATATACTTTTTTCAATGCAATAGAAATGCAAATTGGCATGATTTCTATCAAATGCCAATTTGATAGAAATCATGAGAATGAGAAGCCAGAAAGTCATTAAAGGTACTTTTTATTGTGTCCTCTTCCTTGGAAGACTTTCCTTGCCAGAAAATGCCCAAATATATAAAGCAATAGTCGGCTTAAAGTCTGGAGAATAAGATGGATGGAAAAGAATTGCATTTGAATACTTTCGTTTTTGTGACAAATAATTAAAGTACTGCAGACTTCCAAATGATGCTCCTTATCTTTCTTGCTGAGTTTGTGTGGTACCCATTTGTTGAGCTTCTTGACTTTTCCTAACGTGTTTATATGTCGAAAAATGGTTGAATCGCATTTGGTACGTTCGACCTTTCTGTGATTTCCTGCACAGTCGGTGGTGATCTGATTCGATGATGATCTCAAATTCTGATTTTTCAGATTTGTATTCCTGGAATGAAATTTTTTGAACCAATTCCGCCAGGCATTTGTTCAAAAAATGCATTATGCCCCTGCTTATACTTGTAAAAGAAAATTAATAATTTTCTTTTTTTTCAAGCTATAAGAAGAAGTACTTTTAAACATGTGGAACTTCACAATATAAATGAGATTACATTTTTAAATTTACATATTTGTGCTCTTCTAACTGCAAACATACAACACTGTTTAAATGGAAAAAAGTTGAAATACAAGAGTGAAAAGTTTAAATTTTAAAGAATGGCTATTTCATTTACATGACCCAATAGATCAGGCCTGGCCAACACAAATTGTTTTGAGGACCACTTTGATCATGCGTAACATTACGGTGGGCCACAATTTAGGCAAACATGCTTTTAAGAAGTTTTGTCATTCAATCCTGCTGATGTTTAGAACTAACACCAAGCATTCAAACACAAGCAGTAACAAAAAAAAACTTTATTAGAAGGGTCAGAACTGTCACCGACATCTTCGGACAACACCCGGACAAATCCAATGAACTTTTGCACCTTTTCTTTTCGCCGTTGCCAGCCACTCTTGTTGGCAAGTGTTGCCAGACAGTGTTCGGGATCTCTGGCACCGGCGGCCACAAAGTAAAACAAATACAAAATGAATAAGATTTTATTGTTATACCAAGAGTTCGTACTTGCACTTGCACATTATAACAATGACACATGCAAATTTTTATTTATTTAATTGTTTTGGTATACACATAATGGGAAACAAAAGTTTTAATAGATATATAATATCACTTAGCGGGCCACACGATTTAACGTGATGGGTCACGGGTTGGCCAGGCCTGCAATAGATAATAAAAATGTTTATATCAACACATGTTTGGAAATGCTTGGTTTCTGGTTTTGAACAGCTGTCTTGGTTTCTGAGTTATTAATGAGAATGTCTTATCTCCCACAGGTGATTTTCTTCATCACTAGCTTCTGATTTGAATACATGGTTGGAACGTAAAACCAGCAGATTCTGTCAGTATTTTGTGACAGAAGAAATCACCTTCAGGAGAAAAGTCATTCCTATTAATAACATAGAAACCAAGACAGCCCTGTGTAAGTAAGGTGGTGTGAACAGTTGTGTGTTATAGACAGACCTTCAAACTCAGAAACCAAACATTTTCAGAACTATGTTAATATAAACTAACTAATTTTTATTGTCTACGTATGAAGAACTCATTCCTGAGGTTGTCATGTAGTTTGAGACACCCTGTATTATCATGGCAAAATTAATAATTTGGGATAATATGGTAATGTGGCTGTCAGCCACATTACGATATTGTAGTTTGTATATAGTTCACAATTCCTTATTTTATTTCTATTCTTCTACTTTCTTTCTATTGTCATTGAGAACTTTCCATATCGACTGTTACTACTTGAGGGAGAGGCTTACCCCTTTTCAGAACTAAGGATGAAACAAAGGAGTAAGGTACAGTCAACCCCCCATAACCCTGTTGATAATTCTGTTTTATATGAATTCCATGTTTTACGAGTCACTTAGATTTTACAAATACATGTGCCGGGCCGTGAACGGCTCACGTATTTGTAAAATCTAAGTGATTTGTACAACATGGAATTTATATAAAACGGAATAATCAACAGTGTTATAGGGACTGTATTAGTGCTTCTCCGAATTTGGGGAAATAAACAAAAGAAAATGTAGCCTGAGGCAAGAAGAAAGGAGAGAGGAAAACACTTTTTGGCTGGACCTCGAAAGGAATGGACGTACAGTGTACTGAGTGAAGCTCGAAAAGAGAGAGGTGGGAAAAAGATGGCAGCTGTAGGAGAGGACTGTCGAGATTAGAGAGGAAGAAGCATGAAGGACTAAGGAAAACCGAAAGAATCGGAGAACCTCGAGAACAGATTGCTGGATCAGTAAAGGAGAATAAAAGATCATGTCTGTGAAAGGGCACCTTCCCGAAGATATCAATCAATCAGTGTGGACCGGGTATCTCTATCTATCTCTTTATGCTTTCTATACTTTCCTAAGTCTAATTGTTTACCTGTTATATTAGTTTTAAGTTAGACATAAGATTAGATTTTAAGTCTGTTATCACGGTTTTGTGTTACATGTGCGTTTATTATATACTTGTACGAGAATAGAAGGCAACCTATTTCCCTGTGAGGATAATAGGGTAAAAGAACCCGTTAAGTTGGGATATTTATAACAAAACAAGATAAAAGAACCGTGTTTGGAATGCACTAAAGGAATATTCAATCATACACATTTTGTTCTTGTGTTCCTATTTGTAATGTTTATTCGCAGACTTACATATCACTCATTACGAACAACCATAGTAATATGGGCTGTCTCAAATTATTAATTAATGCACTAGAGACAGTGCCTAATGCCTGCCTCTAGTGCCAAATTACTTAGCATTTAATTAATAACAGTAGTAATATAGCCCAATATAATCTTACAATCATTTGGTTTTAATGTATAACTATTGGGTTTAAAATGTTTATATTTGCACACACGTACTGTACCATGCATATCTCAAAACTACATATTCAATAGGGGATCCAAAAATCTAGAGTAATGTAGAAACAACTATACATTGCGAAATTTTTAACTGCCTGAGGTACCTGGCTTTACTCAGGAAAAACTCCTAGCAGGAGAGACAGCTGCCCACTGTGCACCCTCTAAAGTCACACTAGTAATGCTTATTTTCCAAGCATATACTACATTTCTGCCTAGAAGTAATGCACCATGTGTCTAAATAAATTCTGATTTATATGTACTAGCATGGCACATTATATCAGCCATTGTTTATTTGGGGCTAGATAGTCATTGAAAACTTTTACAAGGTCCTTTGACTATTTTTTGAACAGATAAATACACAATGTTCTTTTATTTCTAGAAAGCAAAGGTTTTATTTTTTATTAGTAAAAATAACATCAATTTCACAGGTATAAGAACTGTTATGATCTCCTAAATTTTCTCTAGGCCAAGGAAAAGTCCCCAGGTCCCATTGATGGTCCTGGTGTCATATTAAGGAACTTTTTCTGTAATAAATATTATATATAATATAGTCACACATACACTATATATACAGTATTTATATATATAGTGAGTATATGTGTGTGACTATATAAATGTGTAAAATAATAAATTACTAGTTCTTAAACATCTGTACTTAAATTTTTATATTGACTTTTCTAAAACTGGTTCCAGTCACTGCTGGATTCATTGGCAAGGTGTGTTTCAGATATTAACTTATCAGTTAATTTGAAACTAGTCAATAAAACTAGATTTACACTAGAACTATTGGATCAGTGTTGAAATTACTTATTACACTATTTCCAGCCATAGTGCTTCCAATAAGCATTTAAAATTGAATGTTGTATCAATAACTTCACAGATAGCTGTGCCTAGTGTGCATGAAGTTATTGAAACCAAAGCTGTAACACTGGACATAATGCATAATGTTAAAAAATTAAGCTAATGATGATTAATTTGGAACAAAAATATTTCTTTGTCATATAATTTTTGCTTCCTGAAGTAAGCATTGGAAATAAATAGTTTATGTACTGTACATAAGTGTTGTATGCTGTTTAAAGCCAAAGCTATGTTTTCCACATAGTTTAAAATTGAATTTCTTCCAAACTTCTGTGATCTTAAGTGATACATTATTTTCAGATTTATTTAACACGTTAATCGCCACGATAATATCAGAAAAATTTTTCACATGGGCCATGGTAACTTTATTAGATAATTTAGTTAAAAATGTATCAAGGAAACTTAATGTATCACAGAAAAAATTTTTTTTTGCCAAAATTCCCGGAAAAACACTATTTTTTATGTCACACATATATGACTGACATGGCCCTATATTAAAACTTTTTTTCTCGACAAGCTGTGTCAGTCTTATATGTCTGACGCATCCAAACAAGATACAACAAGTGTTAACCTGTTGTTTTGAACACAGCGTTGAACGCATTGTGTAGGAATCAGTGGTACGTGTAGCATTTACCGAATAACACCTTGTTACTGTGACTATTTCTTTATAAAGAACATAAAATAAATTAATATAAATATAAATAATATTTATAATAATTTGTAAATATCTACAAATAATGGCAAAACGAAAGATTCTAAGTGAAAGTGAATTGAAAGAGATTGCTGATAATAAATGAATGTAATTAATTATATCAAAATAAAAATTATTAAAATGTATTTTTTCAACTGAAACAATATACCATTATATAACTATGTTTATTTTATTTTATTGTTTGTAGTAAGCCAAGAAATTTTCAAGTTTTGTTCCTGATAGGCCAAGCTTTCGAAACAATGCAAATGTATCGTTTGCGTCGGACATCTGTGATTGACGTGGCCTTCTACCAAATCACGTACGTCAGACATATATGTCTGTCATGGCTCATGTAGAACTTCTTAGCGTCAGACACATATGACTGACATGGCGATTAACGTGTTAAAATATTTTGGAATGCCAATTTAATACAACTGATCTTAAAAACAGAAATTTATATTGATCTAACAAGTAAGATTGGATCAGAACAGGTGTTTGGTGGCAAAAAGTACACTTTTTACCTTTGAATACTCTACATTTTGTGCATTGTTTAATAACAAAACTATTTTAAAAGTATTTTTCTCTTCATATAATTTAAAGTTACTCTTCTTGATAACTTTAAATAAATTTTGTTCTTGTAATTCTATGCTTTTATGATGAGCATTGTGAAAGAATGCAAGAAGTAAATACCTAAAGCCATTAAGAAGGGAAACTTTACTTTGTTAAAGCAAGATTTTTCTAATGTTTTTAAATTTATGGAGTATCTTACGTACTTTTGCATTTGATGATGATTTTCAGAATAGTTAAAATTCCATTAATTACTGTATTAAATTTTTCTAATTTCTGTATTTACACTGAAAGATAGTGATTATATATTTTCATAATTATGCAAACTAATAGTCTAATTTTCATTTAAAGTATTTTAAATTGCAGGCATGGAGTAAAGTAAATAATTTGTTTGATGAAAACGACCTTGAATGTTATACAAAAGCCAAAGGTCGCTTCAGATCTTCATTATACAAATCAAAAGAGAAAATTTTGCCTATGAAAACATCGAAGAAATCCAAATACAAACTTTATCAATTGCAAAAGTTAAATAGTAAGTACTGTGTTTAGTTTTATTTCATTGTTAATTAGACTAAATTATAATAAACTATTATCATGTTTATTTGAATAATTTGTGCATTTTTTTTCTCAAAAAATCAGTGTGTGCAATTTATTCAAAATAAATTCGGTGACACAATATGCAAAGCAGTATTGTGGAGTCAGACTCAGACATTTTAGAGCAAAGTCAAAGTCAGTAAAATTCTTTTGACTTCAGCAACTCTGATCCTAAATTTTACTGACGGAAAAATTTAAAGTATGAAAAATACTTTTTAATTAGTATCTAAAGAAATTTCTCAGAAAATGGACACTTCAATAAATTTAGATATCAAAATATATTTACCTATAAAGGCCATTTTGTACCAAAATTTTTGTGTGTATTGTATGCGACATGCTCTATGCGTTCATAAAATAGCTTTTACAATTTAAATGAATATTTTCGCATTGCCTAGAAAGCTGTATTCTCTATATAATGCACACAAGGCTAGGCATGTTTTTGCTATTACCCAACAAAAATTACGAAACATGGTGCAATACTCAACTGACTTTGCATTTGTAAAAAGATAATATTATATAAAATATATTAATAAGTTTAAGATATTTGTTTTGAGTAGCTTGTATGGTATGCGAATCAAAATTATGTGAAAAAAATTGAAACTGAGTAGCTTATGAACCACTTGAAAAGTAAATAACTTTTTCAATGTTCTAGTGTATTAATGCATTGGTTTTAGATACTGGTGTGCAACATAATCTGCAGTTGAGGAAATGTGCCTTCTGGCTGGTGTTTTAAAGGAAAGTGGCACCTATTTGAGTGTTATTGATATGAGGAAAACCCGAAAAATGCATCAGCCAGCCCGTCAGCCCAAGTGCGAACCCAAGCCGACTAGCACTGTTTGGGATTGAATCCACTTAGCCACTAGTGCAGTATGGGTGTTGGATGGAGACAACACATGGGTGGCGGTTCTACATGGAAAATATTTTGCAGCAATCTCAACCCCGAATTTGATCCTGGATTCTTTGCAGCAACAGTCTGTATTGCTCAGTTGTCTGGTTTGCTTTCAATATATGAGAAAAACAATGATTGTATATAATAGCTCGTATAAACATTGTAGTAGATCAGAATATATATGTAAAGATGGAACTTTTACTTTACTAATAAAAGATAATAGGATCTCTAGATCATTTTAAGAGGAAATGAGAAATTCTAGTTTTGAATAAAATAAAATTAAAAATATTGTAAAAGGGGAAAAAATGAGTTTCTAAAATGAAAAGTTTCCTTTTAGAAAATTCATTTTAGAACAGCCAAAGATCTAATATATTTTTGAAATTGTCTCAGATAAACCAATAAAAGGGAGAATGTAATAAAAATAAGAAAAAATGTATATTTAATGTATAATCTTCAGGGAATTTGTAAAAGAACTTGTAACTCAATAAACATCTGCTTTGAACTAAAGATGAACATAAGTGAATGCAAAATGCATATTTTATAAAATAGAAGAGCCAAAATAAGGTCTTTTTGGTGTCCAAGTGAAAACATTTCAAAAGGTGTGATAAGTCCTTAGACTAGAAGCCGATTTATAAAAGCTTAATCACTGTTAAATTTTAAAACAAAGACAAGCTGTTTTATTGTCACAATATGGGGCTGCAATTTTTAACTAATTTAATTTAAAATATACGCTCTCCACTTCAAATTAATAACGGCTTGTCCTTGTACATCATACTTTTCCTTTAACATAAGAGTCCTGCCGGTCATCTATTTAACACTTTTCAGGAGAAAATTTTTGCATTGAAATAACATGATTTCCAGTTTGTATTGGAAGTGTGTATATAGTTATGCATACTTCCGATACCCTTACACTTAGTGCTCCGGAAATTTACATATATGATCTCAGATTTTATCTGTCTAACTTTGTTCTCAAGACAATGGGAATTTATAGGTCTGCAATTTTTTTCAAATTGCAATCCAAATATCTTTGAAATTTATTCATGAAAGCTCTGCCATGTCACTATGTTGTTTAACTTTTTCACTGCCTTTCTATTATAACTATTATTGCTTCTATAACATAATTTGGTTTTATAACAGTCAATAGAAACACAGCAAAAAAAAATAAAACCAAGATCAGAATCGAACTGCAACAAACTAAAGGAGGAAGCGAAAACTGCAAAATGTAATTAATAGGATTATTCCAGCTTATTATTTGCCGGTTTAATTTCTTGAGGCAGGATTATACGCATTGGTTCAAGATGATTGGTATTTTTTCCAAAGTTCATATTTTAAAATTCTACAATATACTTGAATTTAATTAACTGTTGGTTGGAAATGAACTATTCTTGTAGTAGCCAGAGCAAGAGAAACTATTTTGCAAACTATTTTTTTCAGTCATTCATTAATCAAATTGTTATTTTTTATTTATTGTATTTAAATTTTTTTCTTTAAAATGATTGAATTCAACTTAATTTTTGATAATTAACTAATAAAAATGGAATTTGTTTGACTGATTAAGATGTATGTTTATTTATGTACTTAGATTTTACAAATACGTGTGCCGTTCACAGCCCGACACACGTATTTGTAAAATCTGTTACTTGTACAACATGGAATTCATATAAAACGGAATAATCAACAGTGTTATAGGGGGGGTCGACTGTACTCAAAAGTTTTTCCAAAAATGTTTTAGTTATTAACTTATTGCTCCATTTCAAAGTTGTTTGACTGTGTTTATCTTTGCACAGCAGCTGTGAATTCATAAAGAAATGTATTATCACAGCATTAATTATACAGTGTAAGAAAAAATGATGATACTGATGATATTAATTATTAAGAGTACTTTCTTTAGTAATATCTTTTCAAATATAAGCAATGCTTTTTTTTTTACTTAAAATAAATACAGAAGAAATAATATTCAATTTAATCTGGAATTGTTTGGTTTTAATATAAATATCAGGTTTTAAGATGTTTATATTTGTAGAAATGTAGTCATTATGTTCTAAAATAAATTTCAATTTTTTAAATTAATTCTATCATTTATGACAAAAAATTATTTAAAAGTCATAATTTTGGTTGTATCTTATTTATATTTATTTTAGAAAGTAAACAAAGAAAACAGTTAAGCATTCAGGATTCTTCTTATTTTTCCAATGATGATGAAGATGAAGGATGTGTATTGAAAACAGAGGAAGATAATTTAAATGTTCTAGTAAATAACACAGCACCTGCATATAGTCAGACTGATATATTGAATAAAAATAATGGACAAGAAATTAAAAATCAACTGAGTCCTTTATCTAATTATTGCTCAGGAAATGAAGATATTTCTGATGTTGAAAGCTTATTAGAATATCATAAAAGTGGAAATTCCAATCTCCAAGATCAAAGTTCTCCAATTATTCAAATTATTGGAGATACAATATGCATCAATCAGTTGTTGCATGAAAATGGAGAAATGCAAATAATAGATTCTCCACTTTTGGTTAATAATAAGTTAATAAGCAATACTGAAAACTTCAATCAGAATATAGAAAATGTTTCTAATACAGATTTACTTGTCGATCAAGTGAAAAGTGACCCTATTCAGCTGTTGAACAGTTCGAGTGGATTTGACTCCATGGACGATATGAACTTGGATGATTTCTCTCCGGTAAGTCTGACATTTCAGCATTATTAATATTATAGTTAATTGCAGTAGTAAACATAACACTGATGGCTGTGATAACAAGTGCTGTTGGACTGATATTAAGGCATAATTAAAATTATTTTATTACATTTGTACTTTGTATGTGTATCTATGTTTAAAACCTTCTTGACTGCTTGGTGAGTACAGTAATATTACTGCTTTATTTGCCAAGCATGGATAATGTGCTGTAATGCCATTAAGATGTAATATATCCAGTCTATTATGTAGTATATATGGTATGAACCAAGAAAAGAGGACTGTGGGAAGAATAACTACTTTATCTGTTGTCCATAAGTTTTCTATTTCTCTGATAAATTCCATTCCATTAATGATTTTGTATTTAGGGTGTGTATTTTGTGTATTATTAATGTCTAGAATGGATAGGTATGTGATTTTATTTTGTGTGTCTATAAATATAATTTCTAATTTGTTCTGATGGATGGTTTCACCTGCAATTATGCTTTGTAGTATATTTGTATGCTTTATAATATATATCATTGTTTGGTGAAACCATAATGGACTAAATGAGACACGCCTTGAAAAATTTCCAGCTTAATTAATTTGTTTTAGAGTGTGTTATTTTGTGTTAAATATTGTTTTGTTCTGTAGTTTTACATGGTATTTTCTTGAAAAATATCATGCTGGATGTTTTTTTATAATGTACATTGTTGTGAGAATCCAGGAGTTTTGTTTTTTTTATAACTTTTTTTTAATGAAAAGATGCATTTTAGAAACTCTTCTTTTCTGTCCAATTCCCACGAAGGTAAAAACAGGAGAATATCGAATGTTAACTTAACTATCAACAAGCAACTAAGGAATTCATGTTTAGGTCTTCAAAGTGACAGTCCTTCTCCTCATATCAACCCTTCCCTTCACATCAACCCATGAAATTATTGCAAATATGTTAAAACAATCCATTTTTAAAGTGTGGGAAAGTTGACCTTTAACTAAGTCCACGAGGAGAAATCTAAAAACAATTGGAAGAAATAAAAACTACTAGTCAATTTTGTTTAATTTCCTCTGTCCAGCGATGACACATTTGAAGTGTTATCACTACCAAATGATCACCTGACCAAATTCCCACACTGGATGGGGATATAATGGTCAGGCACCCACTCATCATACTAGGTGGACATACTAGGAAGAGCATAGATGAAGCTCTACTTGTCAGCTCTTGTCGTGCCATAGCTATTGCCCCATAAAAGCTATCTTTTGGTTCAGAACTATTCACCAAACCACCAGATAAGGCTTGGTGCCTTATCTGGTGGTTTGGTGAATAGTTCTGAAGAATTACCTCTATTTTTGTAGTGATTTATGCAAATGTCGACTCTCCTGGTCCTTTGCGGATAATTTATCATCAGAATGACAGACAGCACTAAAAGAAAAGAGGTATGACAAATTTTCGATTGATGTAAACTCTCTTTCACTTGTCTTAGATCAGTGATTCTCAACCTTTTTTTTGTGTTATGGTGCACTTTTAATAATTCAAAAATTTGGTGGCACACATGGTTACTTCGGTAAGTACCGCAGGACAACAGGTGACGTCATAACAGTGATTTTTAAACACAGTTGGTTATTTAGGTCACATTTTCTAAATGCCTTGGTAACTAACGGCAGTTACCGGTAACACCGGTTACAATTCCCAGGAAGATAGAACTGATTAAACTACTTGTCTGACGTTGCTTATTTGTGGATATTCACAGTGGCAGCACACTTCAAAAATCTCGTGGCACACTAAAGTGCCAGGGCACAGTGGTTGAGAATCACTGACTTAGATATTACGTTAACATTAGAACGTTGGCCCCATTCATTTTGGCTCATATCCATATGCTTAGGAACACATACCACTATAATTGTATCTTACACTTTATTTTTCTGTTAAAGTTATTGTTTAGTTAAACTGGCATTGATTTTATTTGGAGAACGGTCGCCTTATCGGTGAACTCAGTGCGCCTCCCTACTTGTTAAAAATAGCTCTCCTATTCTAAACCATCCAGTGACAACGTGAGTGGATCTCGCCAATTTGCCACTGATCAAAGGGGTTTAGGCTTGACTCTCTAATCCCTGGCTTCTCACACTGTGCATACCAGTCAAATATATAGAGATATGATTGAATTGTTTCCTATAGTCTGCTGTATATATGTCATGTTTACAATTTTCTTGGAGAATAATGTATTAAATGAGTAGACTAATCCAATTGTGGTTCTTTCATTGTATTTTGAATATTGTTTATACAGTATTTATCTTAATGCAGGGTTTAATATCTTGTGTTATTTCTTCCTCTTTTCATGTTTCCATGCCTGCTTCATTAATGTGTGTTAAATAAAAATAAAACAAGTATTTGATCAGCTCTTCTATTGATATTATACTGTGAATGTTATACTCTCATCATACCAGTTTTATTATCTATTTACATAATAAAACTGATATGATTTGTCTGCAAAATAATGTGTGTTGTTTATAAATAACTTATATATTGTTGTCTCTATAGCAGAGGGATTTTCACTTTTATTTGAACAGATTAATGTGTTCTGTGCATTAGTATTACTTTATTATATTCACATAATACTTTTTATTTACTTTAGTTATGGAGTGTTGAGAAAATGATATTTCCAGAATTGGAAAGTAAGTTTTATTTAATGTATTGTTGTAGGTTATATAATAATATTTTTCAAAAAATAGTTACAAATAATCAGAGGTGTATTAATAAGATTTTGTTATGGGGGTGATCTGATAGAATGATGTAAAAAGTAGAATTAGAATGGAGAAAAATTAAATGCACTGTGAAGTACCATTTATTTATAAATAAATTTTATTTGTTAAAAAAATATTTTTTTTGTGAACTTTTCAGTTTAAATTTTAATTTTAAAGCTTCTGGGATCTAACACCCTGTAGTGTTCAGCATGACAAGAATAAAAAACAGGTATAACATAAAGAAGAAAACTTTATTTTATATAGTATGAACACAATAAAAAAGATCAGGTCCCAACTCTGGTACATTGTTAGTGAATACTTTTATACAACAGTATAGTATAATCAGATTTATTACACAAAAGGATCTTCTCAACCACTTTTCAGGATCCACACATATGAGGTTCAAATCACAAAAGTATACACAAAGATCAGCCGTGCTTAAAACTACCTTACAAACTGTTTTAACTGTAATTAATGCTAAAAGAGGGAAGCGATGCTAAAGAGAGAGATTTTTTAAGAAAGAAGTCTTAGAAAAGGGGTACCCGTACAGTGGTGATATTCGAAATATTTAACAAAGGGTTCGCTAACAGAAAATTTTTCCTTAACAATTTTTTTTTCGCTCAAATGCTGCATTAGCAACATTAGCGCAAAACCTGACCTTAAGATATCCATATAAATAAAAAAGATGCGTTAGCAAAATTAAGTCAGTTAAAATTTAACATTGTTTATGCCAGAACTATATTTTTTTTTATAAATAATAAAAGATTGTTCAAAATGGTTTATTTTGTACATATTTTAATATTTTTCATTCAAAATATTTTATAAACATAAAAATTGGCTTTTTTTTAATCAGAAAAAGTTAGAGAAAGCAGTTAAACAAGAAAAACTTTCCTAAATCATTTATTTTATCGTTAGGTATTATTATAAGTAATAGACAGATGTCATCGTCTCTCGAAATACAATAACTTTTTTATTTCTTTGTTGATAGCCCGACACGTGTTCCACAGCCATCTTGTATTTTCTCGCACGCGTGGGATCGTGGGATCTCTCTTATGACTGGATATAGTTTCGAGACCTCTCTCAAGTCGATCGCGATTGAACCTCGTTTTAGTCGAGATTGAAACGGTCGATGGAGGTTGCACTAGGCGAACAGAGTATAAGGCTCTAGTTTAGTAGTGTTACAGAGTATAATACGTATATTTTAATATATTTTTTAAAAGAAACAAAATCACTGAGAAATGTTACGTGTGTTTAACAACGGGTTCGGAAAACTTTGAAAATGTTAACAACGGGTTCGGTCGAACCTGTGCGAACCTGCTGAATATCACCGCTGTACCCGTAGCTTTACATATGATATGATGAAACCGTCCAAATACATCTTTGCAGTTTTCCTGAATTTCACTGGTATATGTATTTTCTTTTTTAGTTGTTACTAGTTCTTTTTCCTTTTGGTCTTCAGAAACAGATTTCCCGTTTTGAGTCTCAGGACTGACTGGCACTTTATGTACTGACTGTATATCTCAGTGGTCGTACCCTGTTGCTTCTCACACTATTCAAAGCCTGGAGCTCGTCCTCTGCACATCTGTCTTCCTTGGGAACTTGACCAAAAAGTGCTGACTACACTGATGTTTGCCCTCGGGGCATTCTCCACTCTGTTGTCTAACACTCACACCCACAGAAGTAGGGCAAGGGTGGAAAATTTTTGAACTCGGAAACAAAAGAAAATCAAGAACANTACAGTAGAGCGTCGTTTATCCGAATCAATTGGGGACTGGGGTTGTTCGGATAACTTATTTTTCGGATAACCGATTGTGTACGAAAAATATATTAACCTATCCCGTGTTGAAATTTTTCTCCGTTGCGTGTCGCTTCGCGTTGGATTTTCGTCGATGTTAAGCCTAACGTATACTTTTTAAAATAATAATTGTGGCTATTGTATCGTTAAAAATTATTTCTTTATGTTTGACAAACGAAATAAATACATTGAAAAATATAAAAACAAATAAAAATTATACTTTAGGCCGACTGGAATTCTTTCGGATAACCGATTTTCGGATAAACGACGCTCTACTGTATATGATTATAACTGAAAATTTCTGTGCATAATTTTTTATGTAGCTACAGCTTTTCAATTACTTTTTAAAAGTGTTTTCGTGTTGTCTTGGGAGGTTAATAGTGTTAAGTTTCGGCAACGCAACACTTGGCCCATCTACCTTGGGGGAATGCCTTTCGGGAGGCCTTTTTAAAGGTTATTGGCCCCTATTCAGGCGTTAGACGTGGGGAAAACCCGGAAAACTCCACGTGGCCAGCCCATTCGGGTGAGGCGCAAAGTCCCGCGATTGAAGAGTTCCAGTATCTTTTGAATATGTTCTGTTAACGTTAAATGTAATAATAAAAATAAGATAACCACATTTTCCGTATTTAATTAACAAAAGTACAGTTTTTAAACTTTTACAGCAATAGAGATTTAAAACGACAATTTAATAAAGGAAAATATTTATTAATTAAAGATTTTTTTCTATACAGTAGATCCCCCTATAAGACGGTAGATACGTTCCGTTCTTTATGAATCAATTTTGTAGGAATCATAGTGTTCTATGGGGGTCGACTGTATTATTTTTCGTTACTAAAATTAATCGATTCTAGACTAATTCGACTNTGGAGATTACATATGATTATAATAGAACTGAAAAATTTGTATATGCCTGTGCCTTTTCTATGTTTAGATATTTTTAGATACATAAATGCTTAATGTTATGTTACATATGGCCTATTATCATATACAAGGTGTGGTAGAAAAGTAATGAGACTAATTTTTTTTGCAACAATTTTATTTTATTTTTATACATTAATGTTATCCCCTTCAAAGTAGTTCCTATGGGTAGCTATACATCAGCGGCGGCATTGTTGCCAGTTTTTGTAGCTGTGCTGGAAGGCTTTAACTGGAATCGCCTGCAGATGACGTTCTTTTGAATGGGTTTTTATCTTGGAGAACAAAAAGGAGTCACATGGACTGAGATCAAGCAAATAGGGGACCTGAGGAACAACAGAAATTCCTTTTTCTGTTAAAAACTGGTTGATGGAGATGGCCGTGTGACAGGAGGTGTGGTTATGGTGGAGCATCCAAGTGTTCGCAATGTCCAGTTTAACTCGAAGCACCCTTTTTCTGACTCTTTCAAGGAGCCCTTACTCGTTCCACACTTTCCACAGTTCTCAATGTTGAATGCCTCCCTGAGTGAAGTTTGTCTTTTTCTGCTTCTAGGCCCTCTAAAAAATGCTTTGTGCCATCGAAAAACTTGTTCTCATGATAAGGAATGTTCTCCATAGGCTCATTGCAACTTTTTGTAGGTCAAACTCACGGGTTCACCAAGCTTAACACAAAATCTGATGGCACATCGTTGCTCCAAATTTCGCTTTTCCATTTTCCGTAACGCAATACAAAAATAATACTTTACTTATCATGCTCTCTAGGATCACACAGTTACCACACAAGATTGAAACTGTTATTTAATGTCTAGGAGGGACTGATGTACAAACTGTGTGAAAGAGAAGCCTGTAGTGCTCTCTTGATTGCTCTCATGATGCCAATCTCATTACTTTTCTGCCATACCTTGTAGACTTGTCTAAAAATATTATATGATGTTAATGACATATGGATATAAAATATAGTTTATGAAATGAGGTGTACATTGTTCTCTGGCAAAATAATTGTCTGTAGATGTTGAGCATGTTAAATAATAAAATGATTCATGGATCATTGTAAATCCAGGATGGCCAAACTTTCAGGTATTTTCAAGTGAATGCTATAGGTAACTAATTTGAAAGGTACTGATTTATGTATTGAATAGGTTATAATATGTTTACAATTATTGATATTGTAAATATGTAATATTATTTATGATTTTTTGTATTTAAATATGATTTCTCTTCTGGTTTGTCATCTCCTAAAGTGCATTCTGATGCTAAAATTACTATATTATAATATACTAAAATTGAAGCCTGGCATTATGATGTCACAATAAATAATTGCTTGTTAGATATATTTGTGGCAATGTAAAGAAAATTTTAATTTATAAGTTATTGTTAAAGCTTTGTGAAATTTATTATCAATATTCAGTCTTATGAAATGTTTTCTGCATGTGACTAATTGTCCTTTAAATTATATGGCTCATTTCACAATGAAAGTATTTAGGCTAACAACTCATCAATAATTTTTTACAGCATTTAATATCAATGACTTACAATAAACACACAATCTTCTTTGATTTTATCACTGTAGTGTGATGTTTTTTTTTCCCATTATTTTGAAAGGTTCTCTCAATACTGAAGACACCAAATAATATGCTCCTAAAAATTTCAGTTGGCACACCAGAAAATTTACATCATAAATTTTCACACTTTAAAAGGTTGCCCATCCCTGTTCCAGTCACTCCTCTCCACATTCAGCCAGAATAATACTTTTTATGCAATTATGGTATTCTACAATCCATTTGTAATAAATTAGGAGGAGTTATAATCTGTCTTGTCTAATTTAATTGTTTGGATCTTTTAAGGTTCATACACAAGTCCATTCATTCTCTTTTCTTTAATTTGTATGGTTGAATTAGTTCTGGTGTTTATTAGCATTTTTTTTCTTTCTAATCTAAGTTGGTGCCTATCCAGTAGAGTTTCCTTAGACAAGATTTTCCCAATAAAAATATCCTCTATTTTCCATGTTAATTGCTGTTTCAAGTGAGTGTTTGATACTTAAAACCTAAATAAAATTACTATCATAGCAAAATTCTGTGATGATCCAAAGTGGCTTGGTGGTCGTCAAAGTCATTATCCTGTTATGAGAAATAAAAAAAAAAAAGTCACCAAAACAATTATCTAAAATTCCCAAAACCATGATATAGATTTACAATATCAGTGATTGTTACTGTTTATTTTGCTTATATAATTTTTTTTAATGAATTCTATACTCTATGAAAGTTCAATTATGCAGGGCAATCAAACAAAAAGAGAACTCTCAACAAATAGTGAAGGAATTTTATGCTGTGGTTTAGATTTGGCAATGCTGCGAGCCAGCGGTTTATGGCGAATACACATTTGAGTAAGCATAAGAGTCATGGAGAGATTGTACGTGCTTGTTAGTATTTCGACACCAGAAGGCATGTGGCAAACAACTTGAGCCAGTAAACTGCCTCAAGTTGTTTGCCACATGCCTTCGGACCAAGACGAGTGCCATCAATCCGTCAAAGAGAACTTGTTTCAGCAGACGTTTGAAGGTCAGTCTTGCCTGTGCACGAATGAAGCAATGACAAATGTTTACCTGGACATTTGATATGTCAGTATCTCTTTATTGTGCAACCTAATGACAAATGAAGAATTCTGCATGGTTTTGCCATGCTTCATTTGTTTGCATATTCAAATATGTATATGCCATTAGGGCATGGCTGGTTCAGGCTTGTAGTGTCACCACTCACTGCAATGTTTCCTAGCACTACTACTAGAAAATTCCACTTTGTTTTCATTTGATTATTTACAATCATAGTTAATGTTTTGGATTATTGGAAACCATGATTCTGAATTTATAGCAATATTTTTATTGTATAAGATTTCTTAATGGAAGATTAATGTATTTTTAAGTCTGGATATTTGTTTTGTGATTAG